GGAAGATTGATCAAGAGAATGACCAGATTTGAAACTGCCTTTGTGACTGTCTTTTGTAATGGTATTCTGGATCGTATCAATATAATCAGTTAAAAACTACAATAGGAAGACGCAGATATTGGAATTGACATCGATTTGTACAAGAATGTTCGCTTCTGCGAAGAGGAGGCCAAGGCGCCGATTGGTAAGCAGAACTACAAGCAAGCAAAAAGCGAAACAAAAAAGAAAGCGATATTTCGACGATGATGTAGTTCTGTTCGGTGCTAAGGATGATTTTAAAATAGACGATTTCTTTACAACTGTGGATCAATCAATCTCGGAATTGGACGTCGAAAATGTTCGTCTGACAGGGTATTCGACAGGGTGTTCAATCTTTTACGATCTCTATTAATTTTGCCAACGCTATGTTAAAGCGTTAAAATTATGTGAAGTTTATTCACATGGATATTTCAGTTGAAGAGATCTTTTACTTCAAAGAGTATTTGGCACTACAAGACAAAAAAACATGTAAATATCAATGATATATTCAATTGGGACGGAATCTGCTTGATATTTTTCCTAATATCGATATAGTTTTAATAATTTACAAATCAATGATATTAAGTACTTTTTCTTCGGAATGTTCGTCCTCATACTTCAAACGAATTATAACATAATTACGCTCAAGTATGTCTGAAAGCAAATTAAACGATTTAACACTTTTAACAACTAAAAGTGGTACAGTACCATCTTACTGGAAGTACATGACCACAATATTTTAATTAATTTCCCAGCAATTCTGAAACGTAAAACGCAGATGGTTATTAAACATTTTACAGACAATTTATGCTAATAAGTGGATCTGCCTTATAGTTGTGGACTTTCTTATGACTAGGGTTGCCAGACGTCACGCTTTGAACGTAGTTTCCACGCTTTTTGACTTGTTTGTACGCTCAACGCCATAGTACAAAAATGTCCTGCTTTTGACAAAAATGCCACCCTTTTTATACAAATGCCACGCTTTTTAATATTTAAAGCTGTAAAAAAGGAGGAACTGGATTTATAGAAAATGTAAGGTGAAGGCTTTTTTTTTAGAAATTTCAGAAATAATGGACCTGATTATAAAAAAAATGCTTGCTATTTGCTGATGCTCTGTCGGCACGGTTGTCACGCTTTTTGCCTTCGTAAATCTGGCAACCCTAACGAAGTACCCCTCCGATGAGTTGGAGGCAAAAATGGTTTTACCTGGCAAACAGGTAATAATATGTGTATTACGTGTAAAGTTAAGTACTCCTTGGAGGAGATGGGGCAAAAATGGTTATATCTGGCAAAAAGATATTGAGATAAGTATTACGTGTGTAAAGTTTAAGCAATTTAGCACGTTTTTTTAGTACCTTTCACTAATTTTGTCAAAATCGACAAAAGTAATATACCCCATGGAGGCAATTTGGAGAAAATGGTTTTACCTGGAAAAAGCTAATGTAATTATTATTACGTGTGCAAAGTTTAGGTAATTTAGCGCATTTTTTCTAGCATCTGGCATTAATTTTGTCAAAATTGACAAGAGTAAAGTACCCCTTGGAGGAGATCGGGGAAATAAGGTATATCCTGGCAAAAATTTATTGGGATAAGTATTACGTGTGCAAAGTTTTAGCAATCTAGCGCGTTTTTTCCAGTACCTGGCACTAATTGTATCAAAATTGACAAGAGTAAAGTATCCCTTGGAGGAGATAGGGGAAAAAATGGTTTCGTCTGGCAAAAAATTAATGTGTGCAAAGTTTAAGCAATTTATAGCGTTTTCTCTAGTACCTGGCACTAATTTTGTCAAAATTGACAAGAGTAAAGTACCGTTTGGAGGCGATGAGGGGAAAAATGGTTTTATCTGGCAAAAAAGGAATGTAATGAGTATTACGAATGCAAAGTTTGAGCAATCTAGCGCGTTTTTTCTAGTACCTGGCTCTGATTTTGTCGAAATTGAGAGCAGCAAAGTATAGGGTTGTCAGACGTCATGCTTTCGGCGTATTTTCCACGCTTTTTGACTTGCTTGTACGCTCAACGCCATAGTACAAAAATGTCCTGCTTTTGAAAAAAATGCCATAAAGCAAATGCCACTCTTTTTAATATTCAAAGCCGTAAATAAAAAGGAGGAACTGGATTTATAGAAAAATGTATGGTGAAGACTTTTTTTAGAAATTTCAGAAATAATGGACCTGATTATATAAAAATGCTTGGTATTTGAACCTGCTGATCTGTCGGCACGTCACAACTTTCGTAAATCTGGCAACTCTACTTATGACTATGATTTTCTTGTGTAAATAGATGTAGTTTTAAACAATAGTTAGGTTAATTAAATTGTTTTATTAGCTTTTATACTTTATACTTATATTCTGCTTATTTACAAAACAACTCATTTCCAATTTTTTTAAAGGTTAAAGTTAATTAATATCAGTATTATGTTTGTAATTTAATTTTCCTGCCTAACTATTTTTTATTAATTCAAAATATTTTTTCAATTGTCTTGTTTTTTATTATACAGGGTATTTAAAAATTAATGCTTTAGCCAACTACGAACCTGTAATACATTTGTACAAATAAAAAATTTCAATGCAAAAATTTTGCAGTGTAGATAATGTGGGTCCCGAGGAGAGAATATCATATAAAATATCTAAATTTAAAGTTCTTGCAAGAAATGCAGTGAGCAATAGTGGTAAAAGAAAAGCAACTTGTGATCCAGCAAAATTAATAATTAATAATTCAAGAGTTGCAATCAAATAATTTTGCGGAGAACATAAACTTAGAAGATATCAATCAAATAAGAAAAAATATGCATGCGGCAAGAAGAAAAATCTTGCCAATATTACCTAAAAACCAAGAAGAGGTGTTCAATACTGTTCTCGAGTTACATCTGAATACAAATCGCGCGGAAGAATTTCTAACGGTGGCAGATAAGGTAAAAAAAAATTGTGTTTTCCTGTTTTTTAAATTTAACATTTTGATGGACGGAACATTCAGATTTTGTACAAATTTCTTTACCAAATGTTTAGGATTCATAGTTTTAAAAACGGTTAGTATGTACCGGTTGTTCTTTGTTTATTACATGATAAATCAAGTGAAACATATTATAATGTATTCCTTCTTTTAAGTGTAAAGATTTTGAATTAAGCTTCACAAAGCAATATATAAATATTTTGAGAGAGATCTTATCCTTTTAGGTTGCAAATTTCATCTCTACCAAGCATGGTTTCGGAAAATTCAAGAATATAATTTAGTTCCGGAATATAAAGAGGAAAACTCTGTGATTGGTAGATATTTAAAACTTCATTTTGGTATGATGTACCTCAGTTCTGAGGAAGTTGTAAATTTTTTTATTGAAGAATTGCACTATTTGCTACCAAATTATAAAAGGGTAATTAAATTCCGCAATTATTTAAAACAAACATATGTCAACAATTTATCAATATTCCAACCAAATATTTGGGCAAATAGTACAGGACTACTAACGCATGTGAAAGTTTTCATTCGCATTTTAATAGCTCCTGTTATAAAGCACACCCCAATATAATGCATTTTACACGTGTATTGTTAGATTTCCAAGTAGAGACATTCAAAAACGCGGTCAGCTAACAATAATCAGAAAAAAACTAAAAAAAATGTCCAAACGAAAGTCAACACAATACAAGAACATATTGAAAAATATAAAAATAAATCTATTTCGCGGTTTATGTTTGTTAAAATAATGCCATTTAAAAATCTTCTCAATGTCTAATTTCATTTTACCTGTAAAGCTTTTATTATATTTGTTTTTTTCAATTAACTGTGTATTGCAATTTTGTATTCTTGTGGTTTTTTATACTGTATTTTATACTGTTTTTTTTTTTAATAAATTCGAATATTTTCATAATAAGTTGTTTATTTATATTATTTCATATTTTTATTCATGTATGTATGTAGCTATGTAAGTATCACAAATAGTAAACAATGTCAGCAATGTCTTGGATACCTACATTGATAATATCTTAATCGGATCGGAGAGACCCTCTAATGATTTAGGAACCTAATCTTTAAAACTGTAATCCGTGGCAGAGTTCGGATATCAATTTTTCTTTACCTGAAGTTTTGTGGCAGTAGATAAATTCGGTCCCAGCAGCTCTTGACTGCCCGAACCTTTTAGTTTCGGGTGAAAGTAGGTACTTGTTGTAGGAAATTATTAAGAATTCCAAGTATTACGGTATGTTTGTTAAATTACGAATAATAATTAACGAGGTCAATAAAATTTTAAATAAAATTTGTTTTATGTATAATTTTTTGCGAAACAACCATTGGTGGTACTAGGCCGCACAGATTTTGTCAAAAAGAAATTACTTTAAAATTTTAAGGTTTTTAATATGTTAAAATCCTAATTTTTAACAAAAAATTGAATCTCTAAAACGAAATGAGAAAACTTTGAAAATATCCTAATTTAAATCAATTTTTTTCCGTTATTTTGAAATATCTTATCAGATAAGCAAAATTTTGTTGTTTTAAGGCGGAAAGAAATTGCAAAATTTTATTATGCCGGATCTGGATTATAATTATTATTTCTATGAAATTGGTTTTACTATATCGAGTAAAATCTATCTAAATTTTACATTTTTATACAGTGTTTATTAATTTTGACCAATTAAAAATTCATTCTAAATCCATACCTTGCTATGAGATACGTATGCTAGACCTGTTAATAATGGGTGATTTCTAATCATCCAAGTGTCCCAGATCTACAGTTAAAATATATACATTTCACTATAAAATATAAATAAAGTATTTTCAAAAAATTTTTTTTCAAAAATTGTATTTATTTGTAATGTATGTTATTGTTTTATTATTTATTACATATACAAAAAGTAATTACATTTTGGGAAACTTTTTGTAATATATTATTGAAATTATAGTCTCATGATACACGAAAAATAAAATTAAATATTAGTAAAAAAAACTTAAGATGAATGAACGAATATAATTTAAAAAAATTAATAAAAATATACCTGATCTGGAGAAAAGCTCATAGATTTCTTCCCATAACTATCAATACCATTTAGCTGAATAGTCCCTTCATTCTTAGCAGTAACTGTACCACCATTACTATAAAAATCCAATTGCACCCTTCTATCTTCCGTCTTCTTCTCAAAACATTCGGCATAACTCAAAACCCTTTTACCCCCGACGTCACTTTTGTTCAAAACACTTTTGCCGTTCACACCGTTTGAATAATCGTCTTTGCGAAAATATTCTATTTTCTTAGGTACACTATCTATTTTCTTCACTAATTTATCCCCAGCGAAGTAACTGTCTAATTTACAATTAGTCGCGAAATACAAGTTATCTGAATAGTAATTGATATTACCACCGGGATGGCAAAAATTCCCGATATGCGAATCACTGGATCCGCTGGACGTTCCATCTATTTCCATCATCGCGACAAAAATTCCCTAAATTTACCTCTACTCGTTCAAAAACATTTAAAAATTATCTATAAAACTTCTACGCACAAACTAAGAACAAGCATTGGATTACTAATGCACAAAGGTTATATGTAAAGCTAGAGAAGTCTCGAGTGGTGGGCGGGGCTTAAAGCTCGGCGCGCCAATGGTAGCGCGAGCTTTGCGTTACCTTGGTGACAACCCTTAAAAGCGGGCCAATAGCAGAAGGGGTGGCTAGAGAAGTTGGGGAGCTTTCGAGCGAGTTTTGGATGCTTTGTTTACGAAAAATGTTCCGAATGGGAAGATTTAATTGCAAATTGAATTTATAAGATTGACAACTATCAAATTATAAAGGATATAATTTTAACTGTTTTTTTTTCAATTCATTGTTGTTTATTATTTTAAAATAAAAAACTGTTTATTTTTCATTAGTATTAAAAATTCAAATTATAATAACAAACAATTCAAATGTATCTTTTCATATTTCTGTAAAATTATACCAAATATTCTACACAGAAAAAAAGGTGTACTATATTCAAGATGAATGGTCTTATTTCAATGCTTTGTTGTGTTTGTATATCCGCAAGTAATACTCGTCTCGATTTGAAATTCTAGTAATACTTGTTCAACAATAGCTAATAAGCATTGCTTTAAGATTAAAATCAACTTGCCCTAATTAAAATACCTCTAATTAAATGAAGAGTATCTATTGCTTAATTGCAGTATTATGTACATCTTAAATGAAATAGTCTTACACTTTATTTTAAACATACCTTGTTCTTAAATCCAATACAACTAAATTTGTTACAATAATAATATGATCTTTGACATAAATATATTGATTTTGGTTGAATTAGAGGATAGTTTCTAGTGATGCCGCGAGACGAAAGATTATCGTCTCTCGTCTCGTCTTGTCTCGTCTCGAACGACACGAGAGAGATATTTTCTCTCGAAAACAGGTTCGAGACGAGACAAGAGAGTGTCATCTCTCGACGAGAATTTCTCGTTTCTCTCGAGCTCTCTCGGGCTCTCTCGAACAAATTTCTCTTTGCTTATTTGAAATTTTCAATTGCATATCGTAACTTAAAATTTTAACATATTAGATTTCGAGATAGTCAAAAACTTAACTATAACACTCCTCTTCTATATATATTAAATGGTAACAAATAATGGTGTTATTAGGTGTTATTAGGATTTTATAAATAGTGATTTATAAGAAAAAATATTTCTCATTTCATTTTTTTTTAAATTTATACAATCATTTCTTATATTTAATTCATTCTGCTTTTCTGAGGTTACTTTTGAAGATAAGTTGAAAATTTTTAAGCGTTTTTTCGAAAAACTGCCAAAGAAAATGTAATACAAACGAATGTATTATATACAGTGAGGACGAAAATTGTACCCTCCTCTATTTTAACTTCTAAATAAAAAAAGATAATGACAAAACAAAAACGAAATAAAACTCAAGAAATATTATATTTTTGTTATAACGAGATGCACTTTACTTGGGAAATTTTTTAATGAAAAGTAGAGTCATGTAATAACTCACTTGAAATATATTTTCTATATTTTTATGTTCATGTAAACAGATTTAGGTTTTTATGTTTTTACAGAAATTACATTAAATAAATTCATAAAGTAGGTTAAATTCTTTATTTTATTTACCGCTTCAACCTCAAAGGACCATTACCGGAGGTATAATACCTTATAAATACTGTTTCTACAATAGTATACAATGTATAATTAACATTTTGGCTTGTACAGAGTAAATATCAGTATCTTTTATAAATTTAAGTAATTTTTTACTATTAGAGGGATTTAACACTGCACAAATGGCAAATTTTTTGTAGCTGGTACTTTGTTCTTATACAGACATGTTCTGGGCCTTTACTAATAAGTTACATTCTTGATAACTCTCGTATTAACAATTATTGTTTATTATTAAGGAAACGCTTCTTGTATTTACTAAAATAAATAAATTAAGAATATCAAAGGTGATTTAAAAACCACTTGACGTATTAAATTTTTCATAACTTCTTGGCAAAAAAAAAGGTTATTAAAAAATTATCTTCTAACATTATCTAACATTTCTAGGATTATTGCGGCACACAAGGATTATCAAGAATATAATTTTTGTAAAAACAAAAAAAATTAAAACTGTGTGCTTAGACGTAAATATAATCAAAATATCTTTCAAATGAGGTATTACATGACTTTACTTTTCATTAGAAAATTTAAAGATAGTAACGCCCTCTATTTTACGTCGTTTTTGTTTTATGTCTCTATCTTCTTGCATTTTGAAAACATACTACAAAATGCTTTCATTTGACATCGCAGGATTGCATTAGAAAAATTCCAATTTAACCTCTTCCCCCCTCCCCAACTGGGCAACTTATTACTTCAAATTTCAATTGTAAAACGACTGTGTCAGACGGACAGACAGAGACATAAGTGTTTATTATTGCCAAATTTGGGTATTAAGGCGCAAATTACTTTTTGTTTTTGTCTTACAAATTTTACAGTTTTTTCATGTTTCGTCTTTTTCAAATTTAAATTTGATATTGTTTTATCACGAGAGAAACGAGACGAGACAGACAAGACGAGAGAAAGGCTCTCTCGAGCGAGAGAAGCACCTTCTCGTCGAGACGAGAGAACAGTTTTCTCTCGCCCTACGAGACGAGACGAGAGAGGCTACTCTCTCGTCTCGTCTAGTCTCGCAGCAACACTAATTGTTTCATTGAAGAAATTAATAATATGAAAATAAGAACAAGCTGTTCTCGCTTTTTAATAGGGTTCTCACTGGTACCTGTCCACCGAAAAACATTTTTCAAAATTGTTTTTAGTTAATGTACCAAATTCCTCTGTCCTCTGAGATATCCCACCTATAATTAAAAAAAAAATAATTTTTTAACTGCAAAACCTAAATGGAACATAAAAGTTTGTCCTGCTAAGATAAGAGGTCGTATCTACGAAATGAATATTTTTAGTAAATGTTAGTAAGTAGATAATTACGTCCTTTTAGACTTCACAAATAAGCTTTGCATATTTTTTTCTTATAATTATAGTAAATATTTTCTAATGCAAATAGGCCTTTATTATTTTGTGTCATATAAAATAAAATGTAAGCTTATTAAATTTGTAAGAATCTTGAAATCGGAATTTTCGTAGACACAACCTCTCTTGTCTTAGCAAGACAGAAGTCGTCTTTTCAAAAAGTCGTCATCCAGCATCATACATTTTTTTTACTTCTATTCCAGTTTGTTTCGTGTTCTTATGATTATAAATTTACTTATATATAATATAATACCTAACAAGAAGTGAACTAAATATACTTACATTTAAATATTGGTATTAGGTCGCTGAGGCCCCATTTATCTAACAAATCTTCCATTTCATTTTAATTTATTCATACACTTATTAACTGAACCACAAAGAATTTCTAACAAATAGTAAAACGCAACCCTAACAATACGACGCAAACATGTTAGAAAATGGACAATAGGATGAACAATGCCAATTTGCCAAATTCTCTATAAATGCGACTTCCGAATAATAAGTATCACATCTGAACATGTACTAGTCATATATCTACCGTACCAGTGCAGTGGTTGCATTTTTAAATAAGTTTCAGCTGGCAACACCGTGCAGTGAATTTGTACTCGCTAATCTTTTGTGAAGTACATAGGTTTTTGTTTAATTCTTGTTCTGAAATTTAAATGCTTTGAACGAATTCTTTTATAACATTGAATCAAGTACGCGATAATCGGTTTTAAGAGCATATCATACTTACAATAAACGTAAGAGCTTTCTTGGATTCATTCACAATTCTATACTCGAATGAAATAATTTATTCTCAGATTAATTATTATAACTCTTAAAATACAAGATTATGCCTACACTTCACTCAACATTTATTTTCTTATTGTATCGAGAAATATTATTTGAACTCTGCTTTATTTCAAACAAATGTAATCTTCCAAGTGTAATACTTTTCTTGAATGTAGATGATAATTTTTTTCTGTGTAGAGTCAAATTGTTAAAAAAATTGTCATGAAAAATAGACATGTGCTCTTCTTAAAGAGCAACTTTGCAAGAAAAATTACAGAAACAGTGCAACCCATAAACATTTTAGGGGGTTGTGACTCCACAATTTTTTTTATAAGTCAAAAAAGGGTTATTGTTAGGCAACACCATTGGTTTAACACTTTTGGTCTTCTACTTTTTCCAATTACGGCAAATTTTGCAATATGTATCCTGAACAAATTGACGCCTACTATCAGTGGCGTAACAAGACAACGTGGGGCATTGGTTTCAAATCTTAAATGTAAATATAAATTACTTTTAATCTAAGGATTATTTTCTTACTACTTATTAATAACTTGTATCAAAGATTCTATATAAATTTCTTTTAACGTTTAAGATTAAAACTAGATTTAAATGCAGATTATCTTTAATTATTTATTAATGAATATTTAAGGTGTAAATGCAGGTTATCGTTAGAAATAAATAAATCTAAGGATTATTTTCTTACTTTTCTATTTCAACGTAGTTAAAGGGTTCCTATATCCTGAGAGACATTTTAAAAAAGAAAAAGGTATCAATAGTTCAACGTACTTTTAAAAATAAAAATTTTGATATGGCAACAACGGTGATATTTGTGAAAAGTAATACCTTTTAATATACATTAGCTTGGGTGACAACTCGACCTATGATAGGAGACAATTCAACCCATAAAAAAACTACCTGCTCAAGACGGGAGACAACTCGACCTTTCCCAATTTTATTGATAATTTTGTTGTCATCCGTAGTTCGGATCCAAAGGTTAAAACTTTCTTAAACATTTGGTTTTGATTTTATTAACCCTGATTCAACTCTTCTTCTGTTCCTTCTTTTTCATAAAGTGCCTCCATTTCTTCCTTCAATCTCTGTTCATAAATATTTATATTTTATCCCCAAAAAATTAAATTATTATACATTTTTATTGAAAAAAATGCAAAATCTTTGACATATACAAATGAAACCCCAACAAAACTAGGGGTAAGAATCATAAAATATAGAATTTCATAATAATGTATCTATGTGTTAATCA